AGTATACAGTGTATGCGTCAATAGAAGAGTTTCAAATATAGCGCCATAGGTCTGGCTTACAGTTTATTCACTGGTTTCTGGTTCCCGGTGTCTGATGAGCTATCACATGTTTCCATGGTGAAATCAACCCCTACGCAGTCAAAATTTGAAGTTTCTAAGGTAACTGCGGAACTCAAAACTCAATAGTGTTTCAATGTTCACCATAATCCTCATGGAAAGGATTTGTAGGTTACTATACGGAATATTATGTTCGCTTTGTTACGACCCTTAGTTACCAGAGCATTTTGCTGTATTTTAGGAATCTAACATACGCCAGGTATATCTGCATCATTATGGATTATATATTGAATATTTTAGTGAAGAAAATGGTGGATTTGATGACTTACATGGAAAAAAATATGTGACATCAAAACCAAACTAAATCACACCTCAGACTATTTTATATACAAACTGTTGTTACTTTCTAACAATTGATAACATTTAACGCTTTGAGCAACAAAATCAACTGCAAATAGTTCCACTTATTGTCTGCTCAAAAATGTCAAATTTTTGAATCAAAAACAAAAAAGCAATGTCACATTTTGTTGTTTAATCCATAATTAAGAATGAATTCAGTGAAAAATACAGAAAATGTTGAACAAAATTATTTTAAAACTTGAGCAGTAAAAACAAAACCACCAGTGATTGTTCTGAGAAAAAATGTTGCAAGGAAAAAGAAGATAACTAAACACAGAAAAAATACGCTAAAAGAAAACCAAAATTTTTATTGACAACATAAAAATAATAATAAATCCATGATGTTGGGATGGTAAATACCAGAAACTAGGTATCACTATAATTGTAAAATATACATGATTAAAAAAAACTTGAGCACTGTTTTATTATCACTGTCTATTTCTCTAGAGGTACTTTTACATGCAAGATGCGCCTTGAGAGATACACTCGCTTGACAAACCATAGACCTATGGACAAACACCATTCAAGTACGAAATGCACAAAATATGAAGCGCCCTCAACTAAAAGCAGTCAAACATGCTTCAAAGTATCAATTTAATCTTCTCAAGAAAACTTGAAATAAATCTCTGCACACAGAAGTTAACTATGTGCTGCTTTCTGAAAAACACAATAACAGCAATGTATTGTCCTTTATTCACTAAATACAGTTTCTACCAAATTTAACATTGCCAACATTTTTCGTCATGATGTTATGAAAGGAAAGTAGAAATACATGATTATCACGTTGTTCATTCTCTAATCTGACACAAAGAATAATGGACAAATTATTTAGAAAACAAACTATAAAGAAAATTCCTGATAAAAACATGACTACATAAAGCACCCTGGTATTACACAGACAGGTAATCTTTATTATGGAGGTTGAATGTTTAATATCAGTTTAATTTGAAGAGGAATAAATAAAAATAAAAACAATACTGATAAAATTAAAACTGTCATAGTACAATTTAGTGTATTTATCAAAACATTGACATTTTAGTGTTCAAACACAGGTGACTTCAGGTCATTTTACATGTTAATTGCATCAGCACTGTCCAAGTGTGGTTACTATAGGGACAGGTAGTCTTTAGTGATCTTTTATGAACTTATTTTTAACATAAATCCACGATTGACGAATTCAAACAGTATATAAATAAATAAATATATATATTTACTTTGTATATTCTGTAAATTGTTGTGAGCCAATGTGAGCTAAGTTTTACCCTCCAATTCCAGCCACAAATCAGTGGCTTTTCATAGCAGTAACAAATTTCATGATTGGTTAGTTATTTTTGAGATGTCCACAAACGTTTAGATATGAAAATCCTGATTCTGGAGGATTCTGATATCCCCACCCGTGCCCTCTGGCAGTATATACATGCAACCTTGTTGCAAACAACTTTTTTTTTCAAATGTCAGTTTTCACACTTTCCACACTCTCTTCTTTAGAAACATTCTTTTCATTTTCATTTTTACTCTCAGTAGTTTGTTTCTTCACTTCTGTTATGATGTCAGAGTAGAATGATATGAACACTGATCGGTTGTGAACGACAAGACTACAGAACTGTCCACTGAGGCTTATGAGTTCTTGGTGAACCGGTCCCAAACCTGGTGGAATCTTGGTTTTAGGATCAAAAGGAGTGGTCGCTGATATCATCAATCTGAAAAATGCTTTGGCTCTGACATCTGAAATAGGAATGTAAAAAATAATCAATATAAAATCTCTCATTCAAAAACTGTTTCCAGGATTAGAATATCATATTTTATCTGCTTGGTTAAAATGTAAATTTGTCAAATTAAAGAATTAAAATAATATTCATATACCAAATTTAATGCTGTTAAATGTTAACGCTGACATGTGATAACCAATCACACACTAATTACAGTTCACAATTATTACAAACAGCCAATCACAAATCACTGTGGGTATTTCAAAACAGCTAATCACGAATCACTGTGGGTATTACAAATCAACCAATCACAATTCATTGTGGGTATTTCAAAACAGCCAATCACAAGTCACTTTGGGTATTTCAAAACAGCCAATCACAAGTCACTGAGTATTTCAAACAGCTAATCACAAGTCACTGTGGGTATTACAAAACAGCCAATCACAAGTCACTGTGGTATTACAAACAGCCAATCACAAGTCACTGAGTATTTCAAACAGCTAATCACAAATAACTGTAGGTATTACAAATCATCCAATCACAATTCACTGAGGGTATTTCAAAACAGCCAATCACAAGTCACTGAGTATTTCAAACAGCTAATCACAAGTCACTGTGGGTATTTCAAAACAGCCAATCACAAGTCACTGTGGGTATTTCAAAACAGCCAGTCATATTCAGTATTTCACTCACCAAGCAACTTTCTGATATTATTGGCTTCTTCCTTCAGACTCTGTATTTGTGTCTTCAGTGCTTTCTCCGTTGTTTCCTCCAGTGATGGGAAGCTATGTTTTGTCAGGCATTCATTCACTTCTTTACATATCTGCTCACTCAAACCAACAAGTTTATCTCCCATCTCACTGAAAACATGAAACAGATTTTGATAAGTTTCCAATTTTTTTTTTACCAAAATCATAAGAAATAATTTAAATTTTAATTAAGAGAACTTGGGACCAATTCTTAATCTCTGCAAACCCATGAATTCCAGCTAAGGATACCCCCACATTAATATTGCAATTACTTACCCATCACCCTCTAAAAGAATATTGATAATGTTTTTCAGCTTCTCCACAAACCCTTGAATTCCAGCTATGGAAGCCCCTACAGTGTTATAAGTAACCAATAATACAGATGACACCAAGACAAGCTTGTCCACTTTGTCTCGTATATCTAAAAATCTTCCTTGATCCATGAGTAAAGTCTGCAGATAAAATAAATAAGGAAAAAAAAGTGATTTATATCAAAAGTTTAGTATTCTCAATCTCTAATTAAATACAATTTAATAATTAAACTCTGAAATCTATACAACCAACGATATACCGGGGTATATAAGTTTAATAGGGTTTGACTAAATATTATTACAGTTATGTGCTGAAAAGTAAAGTTTACAACAGACATTTTTTCACTGCTACTTGGATGACTCACTTCATTATCGGCAAGCCAAAAAATAATGATAGATTCTTACCTCTGGAAACAACTGCAGGTCATCCCATTGCAGGAGATTGATGTATCCTTGATTTAACACAACTGCTGGGGGTATGGTTGCCATGGTAGGGGCGGTTGCCATGGTAGAGGCAGTGGCCCCATCAACCACAGTCGACGATGCAGTCTGTGCAGCATGGAACGCTTGCTGGAGTGCAACAATTTTCTCTGCCGCATCTTTAAGCCATTTCTTTGTGAATTCCAGCCCATCAACTGTGAAATAAACAATTTTATTTTAACATAGGTATGGTTAATGCTACTTGTACAAACAATACATTCAGCAAGAAATAAAGATTCAATCAAGGAATTTCCAGGTTCCATTTTATAAAATCATGATTGGTAGTTTGGTTCTAGCTTTTACGAGAAAACTCATATTAATTTCAGAGCTGTTATTTACTCGGGATGAACCCTGATGTTGCAATACTGAAATAATCCATATTTCTTTTGAGTAGTACCGGTAGTTTTCCAAAGGGGAAAAATGTGATCGTCAAGTCGTGAAACCTGGTCACTATCATCGTTTTACTTTTCCGAATAATCTTGTCCATTGAGACTATCGTGAATCGAGTGTGAACGAGCATGACTTGTTGGTGGCCGTGAAAGGTTTAAATACTTCCCACACCCTCAGTTTACCTTCCGAAAATTGCGAATCAACAGCTTTTAGGGTAAAAAGTCACCGTTTTTTGTCAAAATCAGTGTTAACAGATCGCATTTTAACATCACGGTAGTACACTTTCGCATTGCGTTGATAAAAATACTTCGTCAACAATCAGAAAACTTCAACTGTTTGACAGAGCATTTTCATTGGTTAACGAAAGATGTGACCTGCACAGACTCTACCCATTTTTGCACCGTAAATTCAGATGGTATGTGAACCATATTGTTATAAATTTTTTGTTTTTTGTTCATATGACGACTCGTTTCGCATGTTTGTTTTCTCAAAATTCCTCCGAGACCGGCGCTGTGAACAAAAAATGTAATTCGAATAATGTTTCGAGGCTGGGAAGATGGTTACAGTTTTAAACGCACCAAAAAAATATTTTTTCTGAGGTGGTCCACGAGTATAAGCCCACCCTTATTTTTTACCCCGATTTTACTTGTTCAGGCCCCTGGGCTTATATTCGGGGAAGTACGGTAGTTAGACTAGTCAAATGCAAGGTTAAATGAATATGAATTTTTTAATATTATCGTTGGATACTGTATGTTGATAAATACATGTACAATAAGGTTATTACAAGAATACCTCAAAGTATGCACGAAGACAGTACAGCGACAGTATCGACTGACGCGCAGCATCTTTTCCTTCCAAGGATACATCATGGGAATGCCAAAATCTAAAAAAGTTTAGAACAGAATCAGCAAACTTCTTTGTATGAAGTCCGGTCAAACCCTTGTGGCAGACAGGTTTGTTTTTATTATTAGAGGACACTTACGCGTGTATTCATTCCATATTTAGATTTAACATTTTCTAATATGGTAGTAAAATACCGCAAAATTACGGCACGCTGTAACTTATGGCGTTATGGTGACAGAAGTATAATAACTGCTGTCCTTGCATCGTTTATTTGATGAAAAAATGACATTCATAATTATGCATGTTTATTGGTTGTTATACAATAACTATAAATGAACATGCATATTGAATTTTTTTAATACAATATTTTTCGTTTATAATAAATCGTAATCCAATTTGGTCTACAGTATGGAATTTTGAACAACAATAATAAAAATACATGTTTTTATCAATATTGCATCTTTAAAGCAGTAGTAAATAATCAGCATTATTGTTGAGGGTGAAGCAGGTAAGTGATCTTAGATATACGATGTAGCTACACAGGCCTTGGTTTGCCACATTTTTAGTCAGTAATGAAATCAGAATAAATTCTATGATACCTTCCTAATAGTGTTACAATTCTCTTTATATTTAAATTTAAAAAAAAAAAATTAATGAAAAATGATTCAGGGAAAATAAATTCCATACAAATCACTGAAAAAATCTTTTCAGTGAAAATTAATTCCAGCTAAAATAAAGTATTTCACAATACCAGTAAATCCACAATTTCCTCTGCAAAGTCTGCATAAAAAGATTTTTTTTTCAGAAATGCCTTTGCACTTCCAAACCAAAATTCTCTTTCCAATATTTTAACAAATTTGATATAATTAAGTACAAATCATTTACAAGCATGTTAAAAATCATGGTAATTTAAGTCAAAACTAACCATAATCCTCCTGATTTTTGAGAAGTTCTTCAAATTTCTTTCGTTCGTATTCAATGGAATGTTGTTGAATCGTTGGTCGTATGCTTTGAATTGTGAAGTTTGCCATATCTAGTTTCATCAAGTCTATCACACGGAATATTTCCCTGCAAAAAATAAATATGTTTGTGAAAGACAAATCCTAATGTGGACTGAAGATGTCAATACAGTCTAGTATAAAGCTGTGGAGTTTGAAAAGTACTGCTGATCGTGTTACTATAGCAACACACTATGAGACATCATATTTCCATTGAATAATTATTTTTATTTATACACCGGTTTCAATTTCTTTTTGAAAATTTCAATTTTTACACTTTCACAGATTTCCAACACTTGTTTTCTAAAACTTCCCACCCCACACATCTATTCCATCCGAGGTGCATTTATTTGACCATTGTCTATCCTCTATTACTTTAATTGGCAGATCTTGTTCAGTGAGTGTATTTAAGTGTGCCCTCTATGGCAATTCAACATCCAGCTATTTTGTTTCATGTGCATTGCCACAAGACACAGCAACTCTGATTCGGTGTTTGTTTTACAAGCACATCCAATCAGATCTATGCATTTTTTTACAGAGGTCAAGTACGCAACCTCTCGATAGAATCACACACTTGTTTGTGGCGTAGTATTACATTAACTGCGCAACTTGGACATTGCATCCCACATTGTAATTAAACATTGTCTGATCCACTCGAAATGTTCACTTCTATTTTACACTTACTTGAAAAGTTCTATGACATCAGTAATTTCATGGATTTTCTGAATTTCATCGTCACGAACTGGAGCACACAGCTGACTCATTATACCGATAACGAATTCTGCATATTTGTGGACATCTAACGAGTTGTGTTCCGCTTGTTGTTTTATCAATTCTAAATCTAAGACTTCATTGATCTCTGTCCTAATCTTAGTGTGTGCTGGCAACAGAAGAGTAAAAAGACTCTACAAAAAAAATGAATAAACGATTATAAAGCATGGCAGTTGAAAATGTAAGAGTTCCTTAGGGGTCTACCAATTGAAATCATGGGTGGGTTGCAACATCTTGCATGTGCAAGTTTTTTTCTGTCGTGTCTAGCTTGAAATTTATTTTTTTTAACAAATCTTCCAGCCTACCCTCCCCTAATTTCAAATGGGTGATTCCTTTAGGGTTCACTCCCACCAAAGGAGCTTTTTTAAAGAACCCTTTTATCCTATTTTTGAGGACACCTAACCAATCTAATATCCCCCCACACTCTAATGAATGGTTGATTCCTTACCTCTTTCACCTCTCCCAATAAACCAATAGCATGTGTATAATTTGGAGGATCTTCTGCCAGACTCTCTTTCAAGTTTTCCCAGAATGCCTTGTGTACTAGGTCCTTTATGTGTTTCTCAAGACTGAAACACAACATTAAACACATTAACATTTTGAGCATACATGTATGTCGATCTGATATAGGTACAGATGCTCTGATCGATTTTAATATGACTGACTCAAAAGATGAAATAA